ATTTTTCTACTGTTATAATATAAAACTGTACTTACTCAACTCTTTTTTAATAAGAAATGAGATACATCATGTGACTTAATTTCATTTTCTTATCTGGAAATGAAATAATTATCTAATTATTTTAATAAAATTATGTGTACCATGCCACAGTTTAAAGAATAATGCATTATCAAACATTGAATATATAACTAGACGATATCAAAATCGTGCAGATGCCCTTAAAAATTGAGATTTTTGAATTTCTCAAAGATCATCAAATCCTGACCAATTGTATACGGAACTACCCCTAAGGTACCCTCTTTCTAACAAAAAAAGAATAATAAAAATCGGACAACGTGGTAAAGAATTATCGCCGAACATACATAAAAAAGTCGGTTAAAAACTAATTCAAATTGAATAGCAACGGTGGTGAAAGTAAGTCATCCGAAAAAGCTTACATACTAACTAGCAAATACACCTGAATTTTGTCGTAGAAAAAGTATACAACTCACATGGAATGCTCATTTCCTTGTCCATTAAACAATATGCTATTGTACCTATTCATGTACTTAATAACGTTTTATTTTATCACCTCGAATTTTTATCAAAGGGATTTTTCACAATATTTATTGGTTATTGACTATAACTGCACGAATCTGGGATGTGTACTATCATGCGAGCCATTTTAGACCAATCCGGTTCCACTCTAATACCTTAACTCCTTCTCTGCCTTATTTGGGCCTACGTCCTCTATTCTCCTGTTTTCATGAATATTCGATAGAATAAATCAACCTCCAAATCCCTTTAAAGATACACCTATGAATTCCGATAGTTAAAATAAACTAACCATTATGTCAGTTTAAGGTAAGATATTGTTGTGTTAAGATAAATGGTGTAAAAGTAAATTAGTATATAAGTATTTTAGATATAAATTATAAAATAAATCAGTTAGTGAATATAAATTAAAATAAACTGTACAAATAAATAAACGTTACATTGGCGTCAGAAGTCAGGATGCCAATAAAAAATATTGGGTAAAAATGACTATAAAGCTGTTAGATTTAAATTGCGATGGTTATTCGTCGGGAACTAAAAGAATGTACGCTGAAAACAAAAGAAAGCTTAAAGCGGCTTTAAACATGCAATAGAAAGTAAGGGTTTGGATCCGGAAATGTATCTATTTTCGAATGATGCGTCTTCTATACTTTCTTCAATTTCTTCTGACAATTCTTCCTTAGAGTCTAAAGTTTCTTCCTTAGTTAGTTTCTTCTTTGGAAAATAAAGTTTCTTCTGATATTTCTTCCTTGGAAAATAAAGTTTCTTCTTTTTAGATAATAAAGTTTCTTCTTTAGATAATAAAGTTTCTTCCTTAGAAAATAAAGTTTCTTCTGATATGACTTCTATGAAAAACGAAATGTCTTCTGAATTGTCTTTTGGTAAAAAATAAATTTCATCTCAAGAAACACAAAAGAGACGAAAAAGAAAATAGAGAAAATATAGAAAACAGAAAGGCAAGTTGTGAAAATAAACAACAGAAGAGACCAAGGACGACGAAATAATGTGCTGTAATGCGGACATTTCGATACAGCTGCGAGATCAAACGCATAGTTTAAAAGAGAAAATGCAGTAAATCTGACCATCACCCTTCAAGGAGATGCGTTAGATATTCTTTAGATTGTACCAGTAAAAGAGATGAATGACTTTGAATAACTTAAAAAGAGATTAAACAAGCAAAATTGCCACGAACACTTGGAACATATGTATAAATCACAGTTAAAAAAGCGGCAAACAAAAAAAGAGACGAGACCTGGCAAGAATTAATACGAAGTATATATTTCCAGGTTGGTACGATTTGCCTACCGCCTACCGTGACTCTGAAATGCAAAGAACACTTTGTTTATCCCGTCACGAAACATTGATCTATGTCTTGTCGGCTGCCACTGAACATGAGGAAGAAGAGAAAAATTAACTCAACCAACTGATTACCATGATGAAGAGCCTCACTGACAAGAAAACTAAGACTATCAGGTGCTGGAATTGCGTTGAACTGGGATATTTACCCAGTTCGTGCAAGAAGCCCATAGGGTCACAATTAATTAAAAATACAGTCAGTAGAAAAACTATAGTGAGTTGGCCTATGGGACAGCTTCGACCTGGAACCGTTTTAAAGACCCTCACATACTGATAGTCTCTGAAATGCCGCAGATGGTAGATAACTGAGCAACAAGCACCATTTTCCGACCAACACCAATACATAATCGTACAATGCTTCTACCAAAAAGGTTGCGATCGCGGACTGTCACAGGAGAAAATGCCAACATACATGGGGTAATCCTGGTTCAATTAGGAATAGGTACAAAAAAAGTTCACTCATAAAGTTATTGTCGCTGATATTGAAGATGTTATACTGGGAATGTATTTAATAAACGTTGTATTTTAAGAATATAGTGATCAAAGTAGGTGCCCTTTATCTATATAAAGAGAGGACCGTGCCGGTAGTAATACGGTGGTACCTGGTCGGATGAAACCATTGTAGTGGCATGGTTGCAAGAAATTATGAAAGAAGGATGGAACCTTGGAACCACGATAAAGAGATTGGTCGAGGAATTTTGTTTGAAAAGGGGTTAATCACGACTGCTAAAGAAACTTCGGTATATCTCATAAAGGTTACAGTACTTTATCACAAAAATAAATAGTTTGAAATCGTTCAATATAATACTAAAAACGACTTCGTTTTTAAAAAACAGATTAAAATGAACTTTTTATTAAATTGTTATTGTATAGATTAAGAAAATAACCAGATCGTTTCCAGAAGAAGTAAATATTCCAGAGTCAGTAGTTTCAATTGCGGGATTTCTGGCGAGAAACACATCTTGGAAAATGTAAAATTTAAGAACCACAAAACTGTTTTATCACCTTTCGAATTTTAGGCTAAGAAATATAAAAAAATATAAGAATATAGTCAAACCGCGCAATATAACAGACCAGCCGCGGCAGCATCACTTCTATCATGTTATGATAATTAGATCTGTATGAGTAGTTTTTCAAAGCTAAAACTTATTATGATATTATTTCTAATATTTATAATACATTCCAACGACTTGCAAATTAAAACGCTGAAGGGATACTTGGAAAGAATTCAAAAAAATACTAATAAAAAGCACAGGGGAAAAATGTGTAATAATTAAATTTAATTAACAAGTGGTGAAACAAAGAAATAAAATTATTAGTAAAATAAAACACAGAAAGATAAAGAGGAGTATGGTAAGAAAATAAATATAGTTAAAAAGGGGAAAGCAACTCCTGGAGAGATTTTGAAAGAATACCTACTAATGACATCATATGCATCAGATAATAGGACATTTTGGATGTATATTAAAAAGATTACGAGGAAACAAGAAAAGAAATAAGAGCTATAATAAAATACAAATAACAAACTAGAAACAGAAAGAACAAAAATAAGAAAAACCTCAAGAGAACACAATAAAAAACAAATTTGGCATTACGCCGATTGGGGAAACACCAAATATAGATGAAGAAAATTTAAATCACATCTACCTCAAGAAATCCAAAAAGAAGAAATAGAAGAAGCCGTACATAAAATGAAAGTGGGAAAGGCAAGTGGTGAAAATGTCATGGCTCCAGAGAGACACGGGACAAACACAAATGCGAAAACCACTTACTATTATCAATATACAAGAAAGGGGATTAGATACTTTGTAAAAATTATAGACAAATATGCTTAGCCTTGGTTGGCCCAAATCAGCTTAAACATTTACACAATAATAATATAGTCTAAATTAAGATAATATTTAGAATCAAAATTAGACCAGAAGACCAGGAAAAGAGATAAATGACAACAAATATCGAAAGATTAATGAAAAACACGATAGAAGAATAAGAAAAATTATACCTAGTATTAATTGATCTGAAAAGAGCTTTCGATATAGTAGATTCTTGTTTTTCTTATGCTGCTATATTTGTGCTTCAGCCTCAACATATTCTAAAATCTAATTCTCAGGTTGTATATTTCAACTGGATGCACAATTATCTAATGAAATTGGTACAGAATGTCCAACTAGCAGTTTACGTTTTGAGGAAACCTTACTAAAAGACTCAGACAAAAATGGTCTGCACAAAGATAGCGAGTATTATTATCTAAAGTTAAATATAAAGTCTTAAACCAGTTCTGGCAAATTTTAATATCGGAAGGAAAATAAAAAAAGGTTTAATATTTGAATATCCAACTTTCTGAATTTTAGAATAATACTTATTTAAACAACTAGGAGCTGAATACTGTCGAGAATACTTAACTATATCCGAGCCAGACATTTTTTGTTTCAAATATTAAAACAAAACTGAAAATCCATGAAATATGAAATTATATAAAGTTAAGAAAACAATGATAAATAAAGTCCTTAAATAAATCTACACACCTTTAATATTAAATTAAATTGCTAATACTTACTAATTACATCAAATCAACACTGTTTATCTTCTTAAAAATAACTTGCCGATCTATAGAACTATTATCATAATTCATAAAATAAGTTTTATTTTATCATTTCATTATCATATTTGGCCTTCCGCCATCACGGTTTTTTATTTTTTACGAGGTTGTCAACTCCTTCTTTTAAAAATCCCAGCAATAGTATGGACATTGTATGGATGGAATGGTGCGTATGTAGATTGATAAAAAATTAAAATAAGATGAATTTGAAATAACTCTCATCTCATGAAAGTTTACGAAAATCGGCAACATCGCTTTCATACTATTGCGATGGTGGCGCTAACTAATAGTATGCTGGGAACTACAACGTGTTGACAGTAGCGTACATTTAAAAAATTAATATTGTTTTATTAATTTATCTATGGGATAGATAGGCTCCGCGAACGAAACTAAATATGAAACGTTTTGGAACACTTGGAGGTGCAGAAAGATCTAATCAATATAACTAAAAGCACATGAGACTGTGACAGTTAAAGTATAGATAGGAGGACAAAGTTCAACCGAGTTTTTAATGAAGGTAAAAAACAAACTACCTAATGCTCATAATAATAATAATGGACAAAGCAGTCAGGATGAACGTATACCTGAAGATGAAATAATTACAATCTTTGAAACAGGTTAAAAATAACACTGAGATTTAAATGAGCTTTTCTTTTTCTTACTAGTCATGCATTTTGTACGTTTGTTATGCACTTAATTGATTTATTCAAAGATTGCTAAATGAGAGTCTTTTAAATTAAAATAGGTAATTAGAGAATACCTACACTTTGGTCAGACCTAAACACATAGTACACACACTGTAGTTATGAATTTAAAAATATTTGAAATAGTAACCACAAAGGTTTGTAACAATAGGTAATCTAGTCAAAGTTCATACAAATAAATCAGTGTTAGTACTTATTACTGTGTGTTTAACTTACTAGAAAATTAATACTGAGTTGTGGAATTTAAACACGGTCGTAACGAGACAGCACAGTGGATACCAAAACATTAGTTACGTCTTAAATTGAAGAAAAATTAATAAAATCATTTTGGATTTAACACGTTGATGGACAGTATGAAATTAATCAGTATCTCAAAAAAAATACCTTGATATTTTTAAATATTTTGATCACTGGACAGTGCCTCAAATTGTAAAGTGTTGCTGTAGGACAGTAGTTCTTAAAGACGTCAATATAAATTCAAAATATAACTGCTATGTGTACTTTTAGAGACATTTTATTTTACTGTTTAGGTGTCCTAGGACGATAATTCTAAATCCATAAAACTATTTTTTTTTTTCATTCAACTTCTCGTCAATAATTGGTCTTCTTATCTCATCCCAGTCTTTTTTTATTATTTTATCCTTTTTATAACTAAAAAGTTTAATCACCGACGCTTGTAAGCACGCCCACACCCATACTAGCCTTTTTTACGTAGCCTCTTAAAAACTCTTAAAACACCTCGTACTCATTGATTAGCTCCTGCGGGGTTTCCGTAACTGGTCAAACATCCAAGTACTCCACGATGGACACACCTAATTGATATTTTTAAATTGAATACATGTAATATTGTAAACAAATAAGAATTATATTTATTAAATAAATTAATATGTTTTTAATTTATTGTAACGAAAAATGAAAAAATAAACATGTTATTTGATATTTGATATTTTGATTGACGATTTTCTTTTTTCATATTGTAGATTTTTCGTTTGTTGATTGTAGATTGTTAAGACGAAGTTTATCTTTTACACTAAGATTTTTTTTTCACTGCACTGATATTTCGATGATATTTGATGAAAATATTATTTCGCTGGTTTACATCCGGTGTAGAAGGACCATGACTAAATATCTTTTGAATATCTTTTTTTTCAGTACAGATCAAATACATCGTAAAGAGGTTTTGGGTTTTATTTAATGTAACACAAATAAAATTGAACATTTTCTAACACAAAAAGTATTTAACTATTCTGTTCTATGGTTAAATAAGATTTTAATTTACAACTGCTTGGTATTCATAATTTTTAACACAGGTCCTGTTACATTTTAATTTCAAAACTGTGGAAAATGAGAAGCCAAAATGCTGTTGTTATGCGGCCTCTATTGGCTGCTATCGAATTAGGTAACCACATTTCGTTGTTACCAATTTTAAAATAATTTACGCTCTTTCTTTCTTTCTTTCTTTCTTTATTTGAGTTTATACAATCTTATAAGCAGAGCGAGATAGAGTATTTAAATACTCCAATATTTGGGCTGAATTTCTTTTAAGGTTAGTTTTAAATACCTAACTGAATATTAGAGTGAGATAAAACTATCATTAGAGAATGATAGAGTAACTAAGACAATCTGGTGCTTTGTTTTTTTATGAAAGCTTGTGCGGGAAGTGTTCTATTATTTCTAGAGATGTGATGTAATTGTTGTCTCAAGGTCGAAGAGCTATTTTTACCACGTCTACAGGGTTGTGTATAAGAAATGTATTTTAAATGAACAGTTCAAAACGGTTTTGCCAATTTTTATTACTTAAGGGTTTATACTATCATGCGAGCCATTTGCGACTAGACCGATTATGCTCTAATTCCTTATTTGGGCCTTTTACGTCCTCCATTTTCCCGTTACCAAGAATATTTTATGAAGTGAGTACCTCCTAAATCTCCTTATAGATACGCCTTTGTTTCGTAATCGACACTCGAAAAACCGTCGCTTACGAAGTGATAATCTAGAAAATACCGGAGGCACCAGTCTAATAAATAGTGGATCCGCCCATGTATGTTCTGGTTTATAATATAAATTAATATATATGTAAGTAAATGTCCATAAATATTAGTAGTATAAAGTGTAAATAAATTAAGGTAATAAATGAATTAATTTCTTAGTGTGAATGAATTAAATAACTAAACAGTTAATAAATAATTGTTACAATATAGATTACTAAATATCTTATGCTGACTATTTTTGAGAGAAGGATATATAATTTCATTTTATTTTCCACGGCATTTAGATCTCACTAGGCCCATTGTGCATCCTTCTAAATTGATAGGTCCCTCTTAGCTAGTCAGCCAGCCTACAGATTTGACGTATTACAACGTCACCGAGCAGTACTTCTCTTATATCGGCTGGCGATAGCCAAATTCGCTGAATCTTCTAATAGATGAGAGCGTCGGTCAATCGTAGAGGATATGCTTGATAGTCTCATCTTTTTGTTCGCACCATGTGCAGAATGCGAATTCTGACAGCCATATGCAATGGAGATATTTCCGTACTTGGCGATGACCAGTCAGAATGCCTGTGATCAGGCGCAAATGATGTCTAGTCATAGTTAAGTATTTGTTTGCAGTGATGTTGTCAGGGTAACTTAAAAGCTCCGTGGCGATTCTTCATATTCTTGTATCATCCCACCTTTCCTTGAATTTGAAAGGGAATGTTCTTTAATTAGGTGTGTCACGATTGATGTTGTCAGTCCAATTGAAGGGCCACGTCCAAACAGTATTTGATTGGATGCCTTCTTGGCTAGTGAATCGGCAATATGGTTACCTTTAGATGTAGCGTGACTTTTGATACATCTTAAGATGGCTACATTCTTAATGGATACGTCTGTTAAAGCTTCGTGATATTCTAGTACTACCCTGTGTAAATTCGAGGTCGGTCCAGAGTGAGTAGTGCTCATCTCGAGGCTTATATGTTATATGTAAAGGTGAGCATGTTCTTCCCAGTGACATTGTTTCTGGTAATGTCTTTTGCTGGTATGAGAATCCACGCTCAATTTAAGCTATCTGGAACTATTGCTCACACTTTATGTTTAGGTTTAAGGATCAAGAGTATATTCCACATCCTGGGCCTTATTTGAACCTTCCACTTCTCTTCTATATGTTTCGCTATAACTTTATATGGCTTATGAAATAAAGATGCCAGAAGAACGTCAGCGATACTATTGATTATTCAGAGGTAGAACAGTGTGCGCCAGTCTTCTACTGTTAGAGGTGTACCCATCTGGCCAATCACGGCAGGCAGGTCGCCGATTCACGATAGTCTCTCTCTTTATTTTCGTTACATGCAAATATCATTAAGCGTCTCATCTTTATTTCAAAGGATTCATGGGTTAACATATTGTATATTTCGGTGAGATGGAGTTAATGTTCGCTTCCCAGACAGCACACGACGTCCATTGGACGTCCATATTTTGTCCAAATAATGTCCTGGATGTCCATGAACTTTATATGGATCTCCATTGGACATCCATTTTCTGTTATCCAATGGATATACCCATTCAGACGTCCAATGGATGTCCATTAAATGTCCATGATGGACACTATAAAAATGACTAACTTATAATAAATTATTATAATTCTTCTTGTATAATTTAATTATTTACAACGTTTTAATTAAAATAAATCAATTAATTTTCCCCTCCTAACGCCTCTGTTGACAAGATAAAAAAGTAAAAGGCCATTCAGACCAGACTCGAAGAAGAAAAGAAGAAAGAGGTTAAGAAGAAAACATCCCACATGTAGCCGATAGATAATGTTTATCTGGTAAGAAAATAAGTATAATTAACATTAAATTATTTAAAAATCCAAAAATTAAGAAGCAAATCGTTTGTTTTAAACTAATATAACCTATAAATTATGTTTTAAACTTTATATTTTTGAGTTACATTCAAAGAATCCCTTTCTTTTAGACCTTCTGTCAAACGATTTACCTACCTATTTAAGAAAATGGCTTTACTAAAAGCTAACTAATATGCTGCAAATTCGAGATGATGTCAACACAATTATTATTGTAACTAAGAGGTGAGAAAACTTTCAAAGGAGAAGAAAAAAATTCAAGTTTCTATTTGTATGGCATGAGACGTTAGCAGAAGAGGCTATTTAGAAGATACAAATATTTTTAAAGAAGCTGTAAGTTTTACTTTTATTAAATAAAATAGAATCGTTTTGTAAAGAATAAGAAATAATGCATTGAAGATGGTTTCATAAGTTATTTCTCTTTAATGTTCACAAATACATATTTTTATTGCAATTTTAGATTCAGCAGTTACCAAAACCAGGGACAAGGATATGACGAACTTATGAAAAGATGTTTTGTTTCCATAATTTCTAATATCCTCTCAAAAGAATTCACATAATATGATGGTATGAAAGTAAAATGGTAATTTAAAGAAATAATGAGCAGTTTTTTGTTTATATGTAAGTATAGAGGTAAAGTACATTAGTCAATGCATATTTTCATATTAGTTAATGACATTTTATCTAAAAGTTTTACATTTTTAACTATCAGTTTTGCCTGATCAGGCGTGTATTAAACAATTGATTTAAGACTCAATATTCGTATAAAATGTAGTCTTTTTTTAGCTGCTGCTGAGAGTGACAATGGTGCTGCTTAAAAAGTAAGCGAAATAGCCTTAAGAAAATGGCTGAGAAGGTCAACAGAAAGTAGTGCGTATAAAACTAATACATGCTTGATATTATTTATGACAATAAAAATAAGTCCATAGTTGCAATTATTTTATTTCATATTAATATAGGTGGTGATGTCCGTCAGATGTCCATAAATTGTCCAAAAGCAATACAAAAAGAGTCCATATATGGACTTTTCATAGAGTCCAAATGGACCTTTCATAGAGTCCAAATGGACGTCCA